TGGGCGTACTTTAATGGGTTCCAAGGGGCCAACCTGCGGGGCCATCACACGTACGTGAGTACTCAGACGAAAATGAAGAGAGGTGGGAGGGGGGAGCATTTACCGAAAAAACGATCGGACTTCATGCAAAAAGCCGGTAGTCATGCACCTAGATGTTCGTGCGGCTCTATAATGCACCACCTTCATCCCAACTGACGCCCTTCCTCCTGCATAAAGGGGCTAAAGCACGGCCAATATGAGCCTAAGTGTTAGGCTACAGCGTAGGGATCATTCTTGCTAATAGCGAGCACAAAAACGCATGACCGCACCGGAGAGCCTGGTGCGTTCCACATTCTGTGGGAGAAAAAGGCGAAGGCAGTGACAGACTTTTGGCCGACAACCTCACAAATGGAGCACCCTTCCTCACCAACGAGTGGACAATGTCCATTTTGACCCTTTTTATAGGCCCCCGGGAACGGAAGAGATGTCTATGCATGTGTATTTGTATGTATGTTTGTGTATTTGTATGTGTGTCTGTGTGGATGTGTTTGTGTGGGTGTGTTTGTGTGGGTGTTTTGTGTGGGTGTGTTCGTGTGGGTGTGTTTGTGTATTTATTGTATATATTTATGTATGTATGTATGCTTGTGTATATACGTGTGTATGTATATATGTGTGTATATATGCAATGTATGTATGTATGTATATATGTACATATGTATGTGTGCATGTATGTAGGTGTGTGTATGTGTGTTGTATGTGTATGTATGTATGTGTATATGTGTGTTTTTGTATATGTGCGTATGCATGTATATATGTATTAGTGTATGTATGTTTGTGTATATGGACGTATGTATGTTTGTGTATATGGGTGTATGTTTGTGTATGTGTTGGTGCTGTCTGTATGCGTATGTGTATGTGTATGTATGTGTGTGTGTGACGAAAAGGGAGGGGGAGGAGAGGCAGAACTACCCTCTTAAGTATCTTTTTTGACTAGCTTTCCCAGCGTTGTTGGGGGATTTATTCCCCGCATCAAGGACTTTCCGATGCTTTTCGATAGTCCGTTGGCAACAGTTCAAATCCTAGCGAATCTCCCGGACCGGTATTTTTCTGCACCAAAATTGTGCCGGTCTCTAGTGAAAATTGATCGCTCACAAATATCGTGGTGTGCAAAATCGCGATGTTTTATAAATGTACAAGTGAAGTTGAAATTAATTTCGTTGCGATTTTTATGATATTATGAAAATTTCTGCACCAAGTTTTGTTTTCCTGGTTAATTTTTTTGCTTGAAATGTGTCCCGATTCTTTGATTTCGCTTTTTTCCTAAACTTCTTTTTCTAAAATTCAGATTTTCTTAAAATTTACTTTTCTTTGATGCTTCTGTATTGTTTCTGTATTGTTTCTGCTAAAATTATGATAAATTGTCTAATTGTCCGATCATTTCATATTCTTATCATATAGTTCTGGTCAATTTTTTTGCTTGAAATAGGTTCCGATTTTTTGATTTCATTTTTTTCCTAAAATTCTTTTTTCTAAACTTTCGGTTTCTTTAAAATTTGCTTTTCTTTTTGCATTGCTGTGCTGTTTCTGTGCTAAAATTACGATAAATTATCTAATTATGCAATTATTTCATTATTCTTACTACATAGTTCTGGTTAATTTTTTTGCTGAAGTAAGCTCCGATTCTTTGGTTTCGCTTTTTTCCTAAACTTTTTTTTTAACTTCAGATTTTCTTAAAATTTACTTTTCTCTTTGTATTGCTGTGTTGTTTCTGTGTTAAAATTACAACGATTTGTCTAACTATGCAATTATTTCATTATTCTTGTCATATAATTCTGGTTAACTTTTTTGCTTGAAATAGGTTCCGTTTCTTTGATTTCGCTTTTTTCCGCTTTTTCCCTAAAATTCTTTTTTCTAAACTTCTGATTTTCTTGAAATTTACTTTTTTTTTGTGTTGCTGTATTGTTTCTGTTTTAAAATTACGACGATTTGCGATCATTATTCTTATGATATAGTTATATCATGATATCGTATCATCATTTTTATCAGATTGGTGACGAATTTTGCTGGGATGTCGGACACATCTGAGGATGAATGCGATGATGGTACCATCACTGATCGAGTAGCATTATCAACGAATGGCGATTTCGTACTATCCAACGAAGGAATCACAGGAGCTGGTGCTGTTGCTTCCGCTACTGCCGAAGTTCGGTAAGGTTTTTTCCCCTCTCTCTTTCCCTCAGTAGAACTTACTCCCAGGAACTGCACTGCACCGGGACCATCGCGACCCTAAAAGTTAATATTCTGGACTAGTGGCGTGCCCTGTGTGTAAGTGTGCGTGTGTGTGTGTGTGCGTGTGTGTTTGTGGGTGTGTGTGTGTTTGTGTGTGTGTGTATACGTATGAGTGTGTGTGTTTTGTACATGTGTCTGCGTGTGTGTGTGCGTGTGTGTGTATGTGTGTGTGTATGTGTGTGTGTGTGTGCGCGCGTGTGTGTGTATATGTGTGTGTGTTTGTATGTGTGTCTGCGTGTGTGTGTGTGTGTTTGTATATGTGTGTGCGTGTGTGTGTGTTTGTGTGTGTGTGTGTGTGTGTGTGCGTATGTGTGGGTTTTGTGTGTGTGTGTGTTTTTGTGTGTGTGTTCGTGTGTGTGTGTTTGTGTGTGTGTGTTTGTGTGTGTGTGTTTGTGTGTGTGTGTGT